AAAAAGGCCAGTTCAGGGATTGCTCCAAGTATTGTACAATTGCCTTCATTCCTCATGTTAGCATGATTTTCCTTAAGGTTATATAACAACAACTGGCACTGTCCATTGAAAGGGAAGCACTAAATGTTCAAGATGACTCCAGAAGGGGTAATGGCTCTTGATCATACTGCAAATGTGTGGTGGATCATGGAAAAATCTCAAGAATATCAAAAATATTTCTACATCTACTGTATTGACTAAAAGAAAGTCTTTGATTTTGTTGATCATGACAAGCTGTGGAGAACCCTAGAAGATCTAGGAGTGCCAGCATATGTAGACAATTCAATGTAGTCGCTGTTCACAGATCAGGAAGCCACCGTGAGACCACTACATGGAGTTACTGATTGGCTCAAGGTAGAGGAAGGAGTGTGACAAGGTTGCATTCTTTCACTTTTCTTATGCAACCTGTATGCAGAAATAATAATGAAAGCTGGAACTTGAAGCATCAAAAATTGGAGAAAAGATTGGGGGGAAGGAACATGAACAATCTTTTGACATGCTGATGACACAACTCTCCTTTCAGAAACAAAAGAAGGCCTGAAACATCTGGTTAAAAGGATTAAAGAAGGAAGTGGGAATTTGGCCTCTTACTAAGCATCAAAAAGATGAAGCTTTCAAGATCATTGCAATTTATGGTGAAGAGACTGAATGCGTGCAAGTATTTGCTTTCATAGGATCACAGATTGATCAAAGCAGTGAACGCAGTCTACAACTAAAGTGTTGAATTGCATTGGATCACACAGCAATGATGAACATGAATCGAGTACAGAAAGCTGCATGAAGGCTGCAATATATTTTTTAATTAATCAGGTAAAGTATTAACATACTGTAAAATGTTACAGAGTTTTTAATTGAATGTTTAGAAAATGTTTAGAAAACATTCAATTGTTTTTATTTTCCTTTTTTCTCCAACAGGGCATCTGATGTAGTTCTTTATTAGTCCACTTGGGTGGCTGATGTGAAGATTTATTTCACATGAAATGATTTATTTCTTCAACCATTAAAACATATAGAATTTAAATTCATTTCAAAGTACATTCTTCAATAGGCATGTCCCATCAATAAATGTGCATAGGAAGGGAAAAAAACAAAAAGCCTCCTTCGAGCCGGAATCGAACCAGCGACCTAAGGATAACCATCCCCAATACACCTACAGTCCTCCGCTCTACCAGCTGAGCTATCGAAGGAATGTAAGTGCTTCTTGGAAAGAGATATATAAGCTGCCAAAATAGAGTAGACTTTGTATTAATTATTTCCACATCACTCTAACAGCTTTTGCAGAAAGTAAATAGAGCACAGAAACATTCCTGAATCAATTTTTACAGCAAATTGGACCTGAAAGCTCACTGAACCAATACATTTTTATTATTTTAGATTTTTACAAGAAAGAGTTTTTTATGGAGGGCCAGTGGCGCAATGGATAACGCGTCTGACTACGGATCAGAAGATTGTAGGTTCGACTCCTGCCTGGCTCGAAAAGTTCATTTTGCAAATGACGGGAGCCCTTTAATGTTAATGTATATGCATTAAAAAACAACGTCCACGAAATTGTTTTTTTCAAACCTGGTAAGGAGCAGTCGAATCTAGTTCAGAATAAACTTAACAAATCATTAGTAATACAGTGCACTAGATTTCCACGGGTCGACTCCTGAATTACTTTACATGTCCAAACGGCATACCTCAAATCAGACTGTTTTCCATTGCAATCGCATAAAATAAATTAGATAACTTATAATTTTGTTTTATGTTTAGACACTTTAGCTGTTAATTATTTTGAAAAGACCCTGAAACAGATAAACATAAGACATGCAATCCAGCCATTTCGCTTTGAGCTCATACAAGCTCTTCGATTCTAGATGATTTGTCTCCTTTAAAAATACGTATTAAAAACACGCTTCACTTTTTTGTTCCCTTCTCTTATCGATCCAACAGTCCGGAGCCCTCCGCGTTTCCTAATCGTCTCCTGACACGCTCTCCCATTTTGGAATTGCAGAAATACTGAGCCACTGACTTCACCAAAGAAGCCAGAACATATTCGACGCGTGCGATCTTCAGCGCCATCTTGCGATCTTGGCGACTCTCTCAATTTAACAAGCAGTTCTTACTTACGCACTTTACACTCAGTAGCAAAAAAGCGTTTAACGTATTCCTTCGATAGCTCAGCTGGTAGAGCGGAGGACTGTAGAATAACTCATACTGAAATCCTTAGGTCGCTGGTTCGATTCCGGCTCGAAGGAGGCTTTTTATCCTTTGTCACTATTTCTGAAGTTGCCATTCATTCTTTGAGAAGAAACAAAAATTTATCACCTTGTTTTTCATTTGCTGATGATTTCAGTGAGAAACAAAAAGATGTTAGGAATAAATAAGTAACTTTTGCTACATTACTTTAATAAAACGAAACCAACTTAATGTCAATCGGACTTTCATTTGAGAGAAGGCGCTTCCCAGGAAAACAGCGAACTGCAATACTACGCGGAACTCACTGACTTGGAGGGATGGATGGGTATATATGTGTGTGTAAAAGGATATTAGCGCAATCCCTCAATTTGTCAGCCACCCGCAGACGTAAATTAAAGCCCAACTGAAATAATAAACAGAAAATCCTCGACTAATTGGCTTAAAGTAGTTTTAGATTTATTTCTTCTTTCTAACCTTTTTTCTTTTGGCTGTTGTTATTGCATGATTCTTCATATTTATTTGGGGTAAAGAAATAGATAATGAACATACATTTAAACCAAAATAAAAACCTTTTATTGCGGACAAAAGAGCTGGATTTTTTTTTCATTTTAAAAGGAACACTGAAAAAGGGAGATACTGAAAGCAAGAAGAACTGACAGAGCAGAAAAAGAGTACAGTGCTCCGTTTGGCAGAAAATGAGGAAGGTAGAAAACCTGATTAACATCTGCCTTGGAGGGTTTGGACAGTTGCTCCACGCAAAAATAGAAACAATATAAAAGGCAATAAGAGAAAGTGTTTAGCAGAATCTGAAATTAATGTGATAAATGGGGAATTATTAAATATATGTGGAATTAATATTTCAATAATTTCAAATTATTCCATTAAATTATTTTCTGTTTTAATCCTGGATATATTTCTTCTTAGGAGAGTAGTCTTCCAAATGCCACTGCAAAGCCAAACTATATTTTAAGCCAAAATAACCTGTTTTTAAAAGACACAGTAGTAGTAGAAAATGATAGTGTTCTGGAAATTAGAAAAACAAGATTTTTTTTCATGAAAAAAGTGGACATTAGATCTTATATGGAATATTTATTCAGTTAATATATTGATCAGCACAAAGTGAAATGCAGCATACAAAGTACATTTTGAATTGACTATCAACAATATCTACACAGGTAATCAAGATTATATTACTGTACATTTCTAATTTTACAGGATTTGTTTTATATTCCTTGTCCTATTAGCCATGTAACGAAAAGCAAATGTTGTGTTGTCAAATGGCTAATGAATATTGTATGACTTTAGGTTATCTAAAATGGAATATGTTTGTTCTTTTACAGATTGTAAATATGTTTATTTAGACATCACTAGACTAGTCTTTGATATCCTGACTTTTTTCCAGCTATATTTTTCTGTCATTCTTTCAAATTATTAACTTTCTAGCTTAATTAAGTCCATGATTAATTGGATGGAAAATCCAAGAAATGCATTAAAATTTTATTTCTCAGTAAATATGCATCCTACAGGGCAATAGCCATGATTGGATTTGCATTTATCAACTGGAAAACTTGTTCTTTTCCATAAGCACAACCCAGTTGTACATAGTCTTTACTACAAAACTGAGCTCTGCTTGAAATCTTTCAGTTAAACCATTCTCAAGACTGTTTCTGCGTATACACAATGTAAGTTTTATAAAATGAGGTTGTCTGAATTCACTTTCCACGGAGTAGGATGTTTAGAGTTGGTCTTACTATTTCTATATTCATATTGTTAACAATTTGCTTCATTCCAAAGACTGGGGACAGATTTCCAGCCATTGTTAATCTCTCTTTGATTAAACAAAAGCATAACAATAACAATTGATATGCAGAAGTTAAATCCAAATTGCCTGCTCAAAATATTGCGTTAAAGAGTTCAAATCTACCTATATTTATCTGAAAATATATATTATTTAATCTTTAAATATAATTCTAAGAGCTAGATTACAAGTTGGTATCAGAAGCACACATGTGGTATACAAATTGTATTGTTTTTCAATTATTAGACATATACCTGGTAAGTAAATAAGTTTAAAATTATTGAAGTATAGATTTCTGGTTGTCGTGTATTTTGCAGTGAAGGAAACTTGAATATGTCAAATCGAAATCTGATGTATCAATGAATCACATATTCATTGAACAAAAGTAGAGTCACAGACATTTCAGTTACTGAAGAGAGGTACAGTAACTTTTCAATTATTTATACCTACCACATGCCCAAATGCAAATTAATTTATTCCCAAACTCTGAATTTTCTAAACTTCCCAAATAGTAACAGAACTGTGCAATAATCCTCCATGAACAAAACAAACCTATTAACATTATATGTTGTTTTATACATGTATTTTCCAGGGGAAAACAATCTACTGAAGGAATAGTAAGAAAAGCAGTATTGCATTTAAGAAAAATTATATAGGTGAGAAGCACGCTAAGATTAAAATAATTGTAACACTGCAGAGAAAAGTAAGGATGTCGGCCATTTTAAACACTTCTAGGACTTGAAAAGAAGCAGTACTAAAACAACCTTACTGATTTTAAATTCACTAGAGACCACATGCAAGTATTAGGGACATTTCATATGTAATATGAGAAAAGCATATTATGTGTCATGTTTCTAGCAATATTGGAAATGCATGTATTTTAAAAATAGTTTGTTCCTATTATACTTGTAGTATTCACGCATGCAACAACACAGTTTTGGAAACAATATTATAGTAGAGCATTTTCTTAGAATTAGGGCTCAAGTCAATTTGATGGTATATGGTGTGCACAGTGTCCTAATGTCTTTCATGTTTTAACAATGCTTTACAATCCAGAACTTGTCATTTATACTCCTTCAAATTCTAAAAGCTGATGGTTTATGATTCTGTGCGGTAGCTGCGATGACTGTCACCAATAAGCTGGGTTTTCTCAGTTGCATTTGTTGGCTGAAGCAGAACTGGAGCTTCCCCATCTAAAACAGCAAGAATCAGGAATTAAATATCTCAGATTCTTCCATTTTTGTTCACAATTATAGATAGTAAGAAATTACTTCCTATTTGGCAGTATACAACTATTCCTACATAAGATACAATCTACAAAATACATTGGACTATATCCCCCTTTATCCTCAGTAACCATATTTATCTCGGGGGTTTTCTAACACTGGGGGGGGGGCATCAAGTTGGAGAAGATCACTCCTTATCCAGTTTCCCTTTAAATCAAGCATGTTTTAAGTCTTACTAAAAAATCTAAGCAGATGCTTACATTTTTCTGTTCAGTTGACAAGTGGACATGCTTTAACTACATATTGTGAAAATGTATCTTATTTTAAGAAGTGAAAAGCTTCAGAGCTAGAATTCTTATTTTTTATGAAAGATCACTTCCTTGTTTCCTGTCCATTCCCATTTCTTTAACTCCTTCTGTACTTTCTTTGTTCCTACCCAATTCAGTTAGCACATTCTGATCCTCTTTCAAAATCCTATGCTCTACGGTACACAGGAAAATCCTTCAGTCTTCTAAATTTCATTATATAATTGTACAAAAACAGGTTGATTTATTTATAGTACATATACTTTGCTTTACAGCAGAATACTTTCAGAATACACATTCAATTTTTATGTATTACTTACGTGGTACTGTTTAGTTTCTGGGATGGGTGACAATAAGTGCAGAAACAGTAATTTTTTATTAGTCAAAAGACTCCTTATGTGCAAAACATAGAGTGCTGTGTGACCCCAGCTACAATGTACTTTTCCCCTTTTTTATGGGGAAAAACAATAATATATATGTTGGCACAACAAAACAATCAAATGTCAGCTTACATTTATGATGAACTATGATATTAAGAATCCCCTGACAGCATGCCTAATAGGTGTTTCAGCACATTTGTGCTCTTCTGCACTCTGTCTAGTTCAGTGTTTCTTACTTTGGCAGCTTGAAGCTGCATGGACTTCAACTCCCAGGATTCCCCAGCAAGCATGGATTTGAATTAAAGCACTATCTCAAAAATGGCTATACTATGCTTATTTTCACAGAAATTGAAGTATTATTATTTGAAATTGATATTTAAAATAACAATACAGAACAAGGTTTGAAAGCACTAAATACAAGGGATTTCACAGTTACGGTTTGAATCATCTGGTAAAAAGTATGCCTATCTTAAAGAAAGGTGTTCCTGGTAATTCAAAAGGATTTGAATCGGACATTTAGGAGTAGAATAGGCATTTATTGATGTGTTCCTGTCTAATTAAAACTATGCTCAGATTCCCAGTTTTGTGTGAGAAACAAAAAAATTGTAGTTTAACCCACAAAATAGGTTTAACGTGGTTTAAAAACAGTGACAGATTCCTTCGCTATTTTCCCAAATCCTGCCTGTTTCTGTTTTACTTCATTTTCCTACCAACTATTGCCTTTATCATCCCAAAAATGTTACACCAATCTCCTTGAAGTCAGCCCTTGCCTAGGAAGATTTAGACATAAAATAAAATTGCCATCTGGGCTGCATTTGTTTTAACTCAGATGCTATGTGGGGGCATTTAAAATTCTTTAGAAGTGTATGCATGCATAAAACATGGATGCAGATTGTCAGTGGACAGTCTGCATATTCAAGAAATAATCCTGTAGTAAAGAACAGATTTTTAACTGCCCTGCAAAGAGTTCACAATTTCAATCAAGAATATTGTTTCAGCTATCATACATTTGCAGTGGATAAAAGTCATTTTCTTTCAATTGTTTTTTTTCAATTGAAATGACATATCTCTCCTCAAAGCATATTGGCTATTCTATATCCATAAGGATTGACAAAACTGATTCACCAAAATAAAAATCAATAATGTTTTCACCTTGCCTAACTAAAAAGCTTGACATTTGAATAGACAATAAGTGTCTCCTCTGGAGTTCCAAATATCTTAAAATATGTGGTACAGTACAGGAAATCCTCGACTTAAGACCATTGTTTAGTGACCATTTTAAGTTATAATAGCACTGAAAAAAGTAATTCCTGACTGGTGTTCGTAAAAATGGCTGTTGCAGCATCCCCAGGATCATATGATCAAAATTCAGATGCTTGGCAACTGTTTCAAAACTATGTTGGTTGCAGTGTTCTGGGGTCAGGTGATCACCTTTTGTGACCTTCTGTCAAGCAAAGCCAATGAGGAAGCCAGATTCACTTAACAATCACATGATTCATTTAACAACTGCAATAGGTCCCTTAGTAACTGTAGCAAAAAAGGTCATAAAATGGGGTGCAACTCACTTAACAATTGTCTTGCTTAGCAATAGAAATGTTGGCTCAATTGTGGTTGTAAATCGAGGAATATCTGTACAGAAATTCTGAGGTTCACTTGATGGAAGCAATAACAAGAGACTGAACTTTTTTTTTTAAAGGGCTCTTTGTGTTTGCTGATACTTGTTGGGTTAGGAGATCAGGCATCTGAAATTTTACTCTTTTTAAAAAGATTCATTTCAGAATCTTTTATGAATAGGAATTTATTTAAAAAATGCAGTGTCCTATTTATCATGTTTCTCATCCAAATGTTCTTCCTTCTAAACCTCACATTAGCATTATAAAGGAAACATTATTAATTTATCAATTTTCTATTCTGCTTTAACATTTGAAACAATCCTGAATCTCCTGTTTCCCTTGCAGTGCAGCTAGTAAAATTCAGTGTTATAAAAATTATTCTGCACATTTTAAAACTGATAAGTTACTATATTTTTAATTTTATAAGTAAGAAGGCAGTAAAATAGAACCCATTATTAAACAGCCAGAAAAATAATGTGTGGTAGAAGAATAGGAATGGGGGAGATAGCCTCCCAAAGTAAAGCTGAAATAAGATCTAATGCAATTCCATTTAGCACTGCTTCACTTAACAACCAAGTTTCTGATCCTAATTTGGTCACTAAACAAGGGCTACCTGTATGACAAACAGCCTCAATCAACATAATATCTAAAACCAGCACAAGTCTGAGAATTGCTGCCTAGTTAAACACCCCCCAAATTGCTGTAATGGCTTGTTATCCTGTTCTGTTCAGTGAATCAGAGAAGGAAAAGTTGACAGAGGAGAAAAACTTTTATTGTGCCTTTCTAGCAGTCAAGTCCTCTCCCTGAGTCTATGGTTAGGTGGCTTTCTATTCTTATTTTCCTAGCAATAGGAAATCAAGCATTTGATTTATATCATTTAATAGCTGATTTCTCTATGTGAGAAGCTAGTCAGATTATTATTTTTTAATTATTTCATATATTTACAACTACTAAAATTTAAGCAGAGGTTTGCATATATTATAAAGATCATATATCATACAGGTCATGGTGCCTGCCTTCTGGAAAAATATCTCTCACCCAAGAGTCATTTCGTCTCTAACTTAGTCCTATTTAAATGAACCTTTAAAACTTGGCTCTGTCCCCAAGCAATGCATTAGAGAGGTTGATAGTATTATCATTGTGTGGTATTAAATGAATGTTGATTTTTCCAGATTTTCTGTTGATGAGATAATTCTTTGTTTTTACTGTTTTTTAATTGTTGCATTGTGAGCTGCAAAGTTGTACCAGACTTGAGTGGCCTATAAATCTCTTAAACACACACACACACACACACACACACACACACACACACACACACACACATAACAGACACAAATTCAAACATATACCTTATTATTTTATTTATTTATTAAATTTAATTACCGCCCAACTTGCTATCACACGATTCTGGGTGGCATATGACTAACAAATTTATGTAAATCAGGATCTTCCTTTCCATTGCTATACTTCTTCAGTCTACTTCATTTTACACTGAAAGTAATAATATTCTTCTCATTTTAGTGCTCTATAATCCAGCAGTTGTAACTTCTACTCTAGAAATTAACTAATCACATAGAAAGAAATTAGGATATTAACCAATTACCACTGCTGAGCATTTAAAGTAACCTGGCCTGCAGTTTGAGAGGAATTAAATTAACACTTCTTTGTATAGGATGTCCTTTCTCAAATTAAGACTCCCCAAACTGACCAGCTGGAGTAAAGCCCTTATATATTCTTTTTGAGAAAGTAAGAGGGTTCTTCTTTTTTCTTTTTGGTTAAATAGTATAATCCATGACTCTACGACAACAGGTACCTTTTCCCATGTCTGTCTTAATTTGCTCTTCCAGATCTTCAGGAGACATGCAGAACTCTTGCTCTTCCGCTGTGGGCTTGGGTTTGCATTTTCCACAACAGCAATTGAAACAGCAGCAAAGACAGCAACAACAGTAGCACCCAGTCAAAAGACCACAAAGTGTGAATAAGCCCTTAGAGAATCAAAAAAAGAGGAAGAAATGTGTTGAGAGAGGTCAGACTAGAGAATAAATGTCTTTCTGGTTTGATTTAAGAAAAATATGAATTGACCACAATGGTTTAAAGGATTCTTCCAGAGTTGAAATGTTGATACCCAAGAAACTATATGGGCATTGAAAAAATATCCTTCACTGCATCTAAAGATAATGGCTTTGACGTTAGTGACTTGCTTGATCTTTCCTTGCTTCTATTTGTGTGTGTGTGTGAGAGAGGGGGGGAGGGGGAGAAAGGGAGAGGGAAAGGGAAGGAGGGAGGGAGGGAGGGAGGGAGGGAGAGAGAGAGAGAGAGAGAGAGAGAGAGAGAGAGAGAGAGAGAGAGAGAGAGAGAGAGAGAGAGAGAGGAATGCTTGATTAAAGGGCTGCCCTATAAACACTTTTTAAAATTAAGTGGAACTTGCAGGTTCAGAGAAAATTGACTTCTGAGCATTAGTTGCTGTAAAGAAAAAGAGAGATACAGTAACTCTACTGCCAACAGTGTAGAGGCCATCCAAAGCTCAGAGAGATGCTGTTTCATAAGAGAGTAGCCATGATACAGAAGGCATGCTTCTTACAGCCCACCAAATGAAACTGCTTTACTGATGGGATCCAGAACATCCTCAGTCTACTTGATTTGGGGAGGCAGACAGAAACTATTGGGAAGAAGTAACAATTAATTTCGCTCCATGCCATGTGGAGCTTTGAAGATGATGACCTGTGCTTTGAATTACCCTTGGAAGCTTACTGGGAGCTAATGCAGCTCATATAGCAGTGGTATTATGTGGTGTTCCACACAACACCAGTATCTCATGTGTTACTGAATTCCAGAACAACTGAAGCTTTCAAATTATATAGTCTATAATTGGGAGTGACTATGGCATGAGACACTGTGAGCAGTCCCTCTTAATCTAGAAATGGCTACAACTGGTGCACAAGATGTAATTGTGCAAAGGTCTTTTTTGTCACAACTGCCACCTGTTGAAACAGGAGCCACACATCCAGGAGCACCCCCAAACTGTTCACAGACTGTGTGAAGAACATAATCCCATCTACCATTAATGATGGAGACTCACTAGATATGGGGGACTTACAGCTAATTAAGGTCTTGCCAGTATTGAGTCAGAGTTTATCTTCCCCATCGATACCTGCACAGCCTCGAGACGTTGGGAAAGTACCTCACTGATATCACTTGGCAACCAGAGATGTATACTGAGTACCGATGTACGTAACTCTTTGCTAATGAATGACCTTGGCCAATTGTTTCATGTAAATACTAAAGAGGAATTAATCAGTGGCCTATGGCTAGATTTCCCCACCACCACCACCACAATTTTAACTGGAACCAGCATTGTAGAAAGAACCACCGACAACTTCTCCCTACTGTCTCAGCTGTCCAAAAAAATATAATGATCAATTATATTGAAACTGAAAAATCAAGAAGGAACAGGATGGGTACACCATTCCTATTCTGAGACTGCCGGAGGTCATCCAGAAGCACAAGCACAATCAGTATATATTTTGGCTTGAAGCTTAACTGCAATGGGTCCAAATAATTAGCTGTTTCCAGCTTCTTTGAAACTGTAAGCCTGCCACCTTTTCAAGAACCTTCTCTCAAAAGGGAGGACTGGAGATTGAACAGAAATTGTCCAGTACTGCTGAGTCCAAGGATGGTCTCTTAGGCAGGGGGAAACCCACCACCTACTTCAAGGCAGGTGGAACCCATTCCTCTGGAAGAAGGCATTCGCTACTGCTTGGACCCAGTTACAGGTCACCTTCTGGGGACATTTGACCAATCAGGAGATACATGAATCTCGCACATGGGTTGCAGAAGTCAGAGTCCCAAGGATTCTCTCCATTTCTTTGGGAGTCACTGGAATGAATTCTGATCAGGTAACTGGACAATATTGGGCATAGTCATCTCCACTGAACCATTGAATCAGAAGCCAACTATGAGCAGATCTGAATGACTTTATTCAACAGATGCTTAACGAAATCTTTACAGAGCCATGCAGGAGTTCTATCTACTCCTCTTTCCTCAGAAGAAGCTGAGTCATGTGAAATGGGGTTGTCAAGTGACTATTCATGGGCACAATGGGAGAGAAGAAACAAGTACATTTCAATGCCCTTATTGCCACAAGGTAGTTCTTAATATAGACTCTTACCTGTGCATGCTTGGACTTGCTCTCATCTTCCTATATCAGTGCTCTATGCATCTCTTATGCCACTTCATCTCCCAGAGTTTTTCTGAAAACTGAGGGGCCCTCTGGAATCCAAGTGCATAGAGAGTTCACATAGGCTTGAACTTATCCAAGACCGTTGTTGCCTGTTCATCCAATAGTGACTAAAGCCTAGATAAACTATGCACCAGAACTTCAGGAACTACCCCAAGGTCCCTCTGGAATTCCACTGGATCTGCAAGCACTTGGAGTAGACCAACTGAATTGGTTCTCCTTCCCTATAGTAGAGAACAGTCATGGAAAACTACAGGACTTAGATGGAGTGATCTATCTCTGACAACTTCCCTCAGTCCAGATCATGCTGCCATTGCCCCAAGATAAAAATCATATCTAGTATATGACCCCCACTTTTTGTGTGAGACTATCAATAACCATGCTTGCCATGAATTCTCAAGCCACTTCAAATTCAGGATCAAATAAAGTCAAGGCCTGAAGAATTCTCCTTCAGCCTAGCTGCAGAATCAAGCAGCTCAGGTAGATGAGTATTGTGTAGCAGGAATGTATGTACACAAATAGCAATCGGTACTTTCTCTCCCTAGAACTTCATGTTCGAATGAATGGGGAAACTTTAATTTTAAGGCTGCCATTTCTTTGCACCAAATAGTAACTAAGTGCTTTGCAGCCAGTTGATTCCACACAGACAGAAACAGACAGAAGTCATGGTCTGCTGGCTGAGAAACCTGCAAATGTCAAAGGAGTCCAGAATTTGTGAAAAGTACTGTCTGCAAAATTTCTGGCATGGGCTTCACACCTCACTCTTCACCTTTCAAAAGAATCAAAAGGACTGGTATCTTTGCAGCTGGATCAATTCCCCCATAGCAACCATAGTTTTAACCACAGTTTTTGTTTTTACAAATTTCAAATGCACCCAACACATACCAGAAACTTGCATGGAGAGAACTAAAAACCCTCACTTTCCTTTATATGTGAAGTGGGAGTTTGTTATTTCAGGTGTTGTGGTGCTTGGGGGGGGGGGGCAAGGATTAGCTGAATGACCTTTTTTGCACTATCCAGCAGAGAGTGCTGATTAGTCATGTGTTTTCTGCCCGGTTTTTAGCATCTCAACATCAGCAGAAGTGAAGACAGTTGGGTATTGGTTTTTTTTGGTAGGGCTCAGAAATGAAAACAATGCTTTGTGCAAGTGCTGCAAGTCACATCCAGGAGAGCCATACTATAAAGTTAGTTCATAGAAATAAAATATAAAAATATAATATTATTGTATACACTCACCCCTATTCAAAATGGCAAGCCTTGAGTGTCTATGTTATCGCTAAATTAATAATATTGTCTTATCCAAAGGCTCTTATGACTAGAAATAGCAGCGAGAATAACACATAAGGTGTGAAATCTGGCACTTTTTGGATGCCTGAGATCTAATATGTTTGGTCATACTGTGATGGAAATGCTAATGTGTGTGATAGGTATAAATGCCAAATCTTTACAATTACATAACAAACAAGATGAGTAAGATTTTCAGTGTCATCAGAATTGCAAGATCCATTTTCCCCAGATCAATCCATGATGTCTTATTCCAGAAAGTCCTCCTTAAATCTTCTATTTCCTTTTTCCAGCTTTTTTACAAGGTATTTAAGGTGTGCCATAATGATACATAGTGTTACGTATTACTACTGCTTACGCATACATTACGCCATATATATCCCAAAATAGGGCTAGGTTTGTACTTTAATAACAGATAATCTGGTTGTCACACTAAGAAGACTTTTCTCTTTGAAAAATGAGTCATTTTCATTTAGTCATTTCTGAGAAGAAAGAAAAATTAACCTGAAGCTTTAGCTTCAAATATAATTAATGTCTTCAGGCAATTAAATGTGTATGCAGCATATTTAATTAGCAAATAAAAGAGACAAGGATATATCATTTAATAAGCAATTTACCAGAAGTATGGAGATAGACCAGCCATGTCATCAAAGTTCCTGAGACTAAAACCTTTTATAAATTAACTGATCTAGAATTCTGCAAATGCAGATTCTGTGAAAGCTGTAATAGAAAGGCCAAAACAGATTATAACAAATCAAAGACTCTGTGTTCCAGTATCTGGCATATCAGTTTTGCAGTTAAATACTTACTTTTGCCCACCAACTAGAAAGCATGAAATATGTATTGACATTTTCTTCACCAAACTGTTCAGCGATGTACAGCCCTAATGATCCATATTGGTCATATATATTTCTTTTGGACACATCTGTTAATATTGCATGAGCATTGTTAATTTCTTTAAATTTTTCTGCAGCCTCTGGATTATCTGGGTTCTTATCAGGATGATATTTCAGGGCCAATTTCCTTTGATAGAAAAGAAAAGGTGAAGGGCAAAAAAAAAAAAAAGAGAGAGAGAGACGAGGATAACATTAGGATTGAGACAATGGCTTTCTTGAGAAGAATGTATAAACCACCTAATGTTAGGTTTAGATCCCTTGTAAACAGAGGAAAAAATAGCTTCATGATGTTACATTGTATATGTAATAATTGTTCAGTATTCTAGCTGACATTTTTGCTCATTTTATTTTTATTTTATTTCTATTGTACTTGTCCATACTATCATTTTATTTTTAGGGGGGGTCTTGATAAAATCACAAGCCCATTCCTTTCTTTTATCCCAAAATTACATTTGGCATTGTAAAGATAACCCAAGGTTGAAGAAGGAAATGTTTACATTTTAAAAATATATGATATTAATAAAACCAAAATTCTGTTCTGGAATTTTATTTCTCATGGAAAACAGCACTGATATATTTATCTCTAAACACAATAATTTTACTCTTTTATTTTGTCTGAACCTAACAATGCATTTTTCAACCATTATAACACATATTTTTAAGATTCTGTTGCAGACCAAAACAAGCTGAAAGCATGGGTGTAACAACTTGTTCCTACAGTCTTTCAGAACTTTCAGTGGCATAGAAAGTTATGCAAATAAACTAATTTTTGATGTTAACATTCTTATAAGTCTCCCTCTTTAAATAGAAAATATGTCATTTACACATTTACTTCACTAGTTCTCTAGTCCATTTCTAAATCGGGCCATAGATTTTATTCAGAGTTTTTGCCCTAGTAACAACATTGGAGAAACTGCCTACACAACAAAACAAGAGAGGTACTAACATGTCAAAAATAGAAAAGTAAGTTTTATCTTGCTAAAAAAAACCCTTAAAATAACAAACTTCAGACCAACAAAAAGCCAGCACAGTAGAGACACACACACACATACAAAACATCTACATTTCCAGTTCACTGACTGGATTCACACATTGCACCAAGTCATGGTTTATGTAAATTATATTTCAAATCAAAAAGTTTTCTTTTGGTGGTGGGAAGGGGGGAGGGGAAATCACATAATGTACAAAGTCAAACTCAAATAAATGGCATTATAGCCTAGCATCATATATGAACCCAGATATAATGGGAGCACAATAATTAACTATCTTTACATGATAACATTTTCTAAATAAATCTATAAAACATGTTTAATTAAAGGATTTCTGGAAGAATTTAATAGACATAAGAACGAGTTGCCCGATCTTGAATAGTGCTTCCAGTTCAATGATAAAACTGAGGTTTTACATGCAAAATTCCTATGTTCAAATCTTGACATCTTGATGGAAAGCTGAAACCCTAGGCTGGTAGGCAGTCCTGGCAATACTGGATTAGATAGATTAATGGTCTGAATGAAAGTAAGCCAAATTTCTGAGTTCTTTTCTGCAAAATCTGATATTATATTAAATAGAAATTAGATATTCAGAAGTTTGAAAATAAAGTGCTTGTATTAAATCAGATACATTTGGAAAAGCATCAGATTTTCCGACCTGTAAACTAGATATTATTATTGTTAACCAAAATTAAAAAAATCATATAACACTGATCTTGATAGAATGCCTAACAGAACTTGGAACTTATAGGAGGCAGCAAGACAGTTAAGAGATGAAACAGTGAGGCTATAGAAGAGTTTATTGACAGGTGTGGGGGGAAGAAAGAAAAAAGCACTCAGAGTAACTGCACTAGATATTAGTTATGTAGAAGAATCACTCTGGGAAGTTTTAGAAATCAATGACAAGACTGCAGTGCTGGCAAACTTCAGTCACAAGGAACACTTAGATTTCTGACAAATCTTTATTGCCAGTAGGGTAAAGTAACAGAATCTTGAAAACCTTGAAAATAGTTCTTCCACACAACATATACTCCTAAATCCTGCTATGGTGTCTCATCATAGTGATGACATGTTTCTGGAAGGTGGGTAAAGTCCATTGAGAGTATATGCCAAAAGTGCATATTCCTAATAGGTCACCCAAGATGTGAAGGTTCATCCCAGTGGCTCAGTTAATACAGTCAGACACCTATATGTAGTGACAACATCAAAGGCATCATTTCATGGTATGTGACAATGATAAAATACTCTTGTATTTTACTAAGAAACCCTCATGTAGAGAAAACATAAAGTAATTATCAATATAGTACTAGAGGCCACGGTGACAGGTGTGGTTAGGAAACTGAGCCAGAAGACCATTGAGAGGTTGATAGCTTGGCAGTTCAAAACCTGAGAGTATGAGCTATGTGACAAAATGAGCTCCCATCAATTTGTCCCAGCTCCAGCCAATCTACAGTTTGAAAGCATGCAAATACAAGTAGATAAATAGGTACCACTTTGGTGGTCATGAAAGGAGACATTCCCTGGCAGCAATGATGTCCTTTCAACCCAAAAGCATCTTGGTAAGTGCTTCCAACATGAATGTAGTAGTACTAATATAGTGCTAGAATATAGGCACTTCAGATTTAATGGTGTGCTTCTGAGGAAGAGCAGAGGATCTTTCAGAACATTAATATTTGTAATATGACTAAATAAAGTAAATAGCGGCTTTCGATACCATCAACCATGGTATCCTTCTGCGTCGTCTCGGAGAGGTGGGGGTGGGCGGCACCGTATTGCAGTGGTTCTCCTCCTACCTCTCTGACAGGTCGCAGTCGGTGTTGGTGGGCTGACAGAGATCGACCCCTAGGCGCCTTGATCATGGGGTGCCTCAGGGCTCGGTCCTGTCCCCCCTCCTTTTTAACATCTACATGAAACCGCTGGGTGAGATCATTCGGCGACATGGGGTGAGGTATCATCAGTACACGGATGATACCAAATTATATATCTCCACCCCGTGTCCTTTCAGTGAAGCAGTCGACGTGATGTGCCAGTGCCTGGAAGATGTGAGGGTCTGGATGGGGGTGAACAGGCTTAGACTCAACACTGACAAGACCGAGTGGCTCTGGGTCTTGCCTCCAAAAGGCCAACTGGATGGTCCATCATTAGTCCTGGGGGGAGGACAAATTTACCTCCCTCAGTGCAGGCACGCAACTTGGGTGTCCTCCTGGACTCACAGCTAAATTTGGAACAACATCTATCGGCTGTGGCCAGGGGGACCTTTGCACAGGTTCGCCTAGTGCACCAGTTGCGGCCTTATTTGGACCGGGAGGCTTTACTCACAGTCACTCATGTCCTTGTCACCTCAAGACTGGATTACTGTAACGCGCTCTACATGGGGCTACCCTTGAAGGGCGTTCGGAGGCTGCAGTTGGTTCAGAACGCAGCCGCGAGAGCGATTGTGGGCGCGCCAAGATACGCCCACGTGTCACCTATCCTCCGCGAGCTGCACTGGCTTCCTGTGGGTCTCCGGATGCAATTCAAGGTGTTGGTTATCACCTTTAAAGCCCTTCATGGCATAGGGCCAGGTTACTTACAGGACCACATTCTGCCGCACAGCTCCCAGAGACCGGTGAGGTCCCATAGATTGGGCCTCCTTCAGGTCCCGTCGGCCAGACAATGTCGTCTGGCGGGCCCTCGGGGAAGGGCCTTTTCTGTGGTGGCTCCGACCTGGTGGAATCAACTTCCCCCCGAGGTTTGAACTACTCCCACCCTGCCAGCCTTTAAGAAAGCCGTTAAAACTCTCCTGTTCCGGCAGGCCTGGGGCTGATGTCCCCGGGGGGCTGGGATATGATCAGACTCGCGGTATGACTGTATTATTTTATTTTATTGTTTTATGATTGTTTTAACTCTGTACGCCACCCTGAGTCCTTTGGGATTGGGCGGCATATAAATATTTGAAAATAAATAAATAAATAAATACATAAATAAATCTTTTGGATGTCTACTTGCCAATGCTACTATGCAGGAAGAGAAAATCTAAAGATCAGAGTGACAACAAACAAAACCTTGGAATTGAAATGGCAAATTGAAAAGGACTGGTATTGGATATTTTCAGTCAGAAGATCATATTGTTTGCTATTCAGGACTAAAAGAAAAGAAATATATATCTCAGAATAAGGAATTGGTATGCTAAAAAATAGCAATGGTTAGACAATTATTGATTCAAAGAAAATCAAAGATGGAAAAAAATATATTGAGATTCTAAGATATTCCTTATTTTCAAAATCTTATAGTATTAGAAGATGAAATTTGATCAGCACTCTGGTCATAACCAAATTGGAAGGATACAGGAATTGATGGAATATTTATAAATACTGTATATGGCAAGCAACAGAATCAGAATCAGTAAAATTTTGAGCCAAATTATGCCTGCAAATCTAGAGAATAACACAATGGCAACAGATTAGAAGATGTCACTTTACATGCCAATACCAAAGAAAGAAGATTTAGTAGAGATTGTGAACTATTGCACAATATCCTTAGTTTCACATTCCAACAATATAATATTTAGCATCATCAAACATAAATTAGAATCCTATGTAGCAAAAGAATTATTCAGATATTCAATCTGGCTTTAAAAAAGGCCAAGGAACATAATACATTATTGCTAATACACACTAGATAATTGAAAAAGCCAAAGAATACCAAAAGAAATTAGCATTGACTATAGAATAATCTTAAAATGCATCAATGATGTCAAACTGTAGAATATACTTAGGAAAACTGATTAGTAGAACATCTCATTGTCCTCATGAGAAACCAATATACAGGGTAGGAAGACATAGTCTGGGTGGAATGGGACGAAACAGTCCGTCTCTAAGCCATCAAGGGAATGAGATAAGACTGCATGTTCCCTCCTTATTTATTCAAACTGTATGCTGAATAGATGTTGAGAGAAAGTGAATTGGAAAAAGATGAGTGTGATATTAAAATTGGAGTAACATCAATAATTTGTGTGATGTTAGTGACAATATTCTCCTAATTGAAAATGCAAATGATCTGCAAACTTGTAATGAAAGTCAAGTTGTATAGTGAAAAAATGATGAAATATAAAGTCCAAACTAATGATAATAGGTACAGTAACCAGCTTTAGAATTGACAATGAAGACATGAAGTAGTAGATGGTTTCTGGCTTTTAGGATTGACTATCAATAGTAAAAAAAAAAAAAGCCAAGAAATATGCCACAGATTAGCAATTATAGGGCAGCATATAAACCCTTCAAAAAGTATTCAGATGCTATGACAAGTTTACATCTATAGAAATTACAATCAAACAAACAATGGTTTTACTTGGGTTGCTCTATGGATATAAAAATTGGACTCAAAGAAACAGGATAGAAAAAGTATTGATTTATTTGAAATTTGATATTGGAGAAGACTCCTGAGAATACAATTGGCAGCCAAGAAAACAAACAAACTGATCATAAAACACATCAGTGCAGGATTCTTATTTGAAGCACAAACTACCAGACTCAAACTAATATATCTGAACATATTATGTGAATACCCAGCTCCCCTGAGAAGTCCAAAATCCTGAAAGAAGTAGAAGGAAATATAAGAGAATGACTAAGGTAAGGTAAGTGGACTTGAGTACAATAATAATGTACCAATGAGTGATCTAAAAGGCTAGGTTGAAGACAGATAATCTTAACAAACAAATAAAAAACAAAGACAATGATACACACCTTTTATTTTATTGTTGAGAAACTACTTATGTCAGGCTTGATTCCAATTAGTCTTGATTTTTGACTGAAATCAGTACGACTTACTTCTCTCTCATTTAAATATACCTAGATTTAGAATTTTAGAGCTACATTTAGATGTTTTTAGGGTCACATTTTCATTTACAATTGTCATCTTGTCATGTGAGAAAAATGGTTCATTCGTCTCTCTAATCGTTTTGGTTTTTTATGCTGGTCTTTGATAAAATAAGGATTAATAAATCAGGTAGCATATGCATGGGTCTCAATCCAAGTATCATTTCTCAATTACATTTACAGAGTTGTCTTTTTCAACTCTGTGTTTTTACTGTATTATAGTATGTCCTCTATCAGTTTCAATGGGCTCCAGTAAAGGATTTCTTAGAATAATGTCTCTTTAGAGAAGATAGGGTTATTGTGGCAGAAATCTGTGATTACTGCACTTGCATGGAAATCGTAGAGAAAATTAAAATAATGTAAGAAACCAGTTTTGTGTGTGAACAACTTACTAATGTATGGAACATAATCATTCCTATTGGGCTCTTCCAAACTGTTAAATAGATCAGAAAACGAAAGCCTTAGTGTCAAAATCTAGGATTTGTCATTCATTTATGAATCTACAGGTTTCCTGGATCACTTCTTGATTAGTTTTATATAAGGGTGGGCAACCATTAGATAATCGGGGGGAGGGCATTTAATGGTTTTCTGACCAATGAAGGCAAAGCAATGAGTCAAAGTGTATGAAACTGTATCTTGCATTCAAAAAGGCCAGAATTTTCTACTGGAGCAGTGCAAGTAGAGGTGGAGGGATTGGATTATTTGTAAAGTTCATATTTTAGATCTACACTTCAGACTGTTCATGTCCCCATCTCAAAATAAAAGGAAACTATACTCTGCATGAAAGATGGATGGGCTCCAGGACTCATGAAAAAGAGCTTCAGGGTTGGCATGTGGCCCTGGAATTAGAAATTGCTCAGCCAAGTTACTTGTGCTACTGAGATGAAGTAGGGAATGGAAAACTAGTATGTGGGATACAGGACATTTATATAAATTAGTTATTTCCTTTGTGCATCCTGTGTGGGTCAATGTGACCTAGCAGTGTTCTCTAATTCAAAGCAGGTCCTTTGCAGGTAAAATGATATCAAACTGAAAAAGAAGCATCATGTAGCGGTACCACGTTTATGACATCTAAAACATAGACGGTTATGTTCTGGCAAGCACCAAGCTAACTAATAACAATAGGAAATTTGAAGTCAGGTATTCTATGATTATTATGCTGCATTGTCAATGCTTACTTCAGCAGCAGGTTTTTAGATTCATGAAGCAAATTAACATAAGTTAAAAGATCAGTTAAATGAAATCCAAGAGTCTGACTCATCATTTTGTCTTGCAAGTATTTACAACAATTCCATTAAGTGTGAATCCCTTTGATATTTCCACTTTACTCAGAAGCAGCCTTTGTTTTTACCATAATTGCTAATAAAGATGGATAAAACACCACTGTCAGTTTTGCCATAGATTGTTATGTAAATTATCACTATTCATGTACAGGGCAAAATGAAATTCAGTTCACTTTGCATTCTTCCATGACAACTCTCCCCTTATGGGATTAGAGAAAGTTTTTCTTCTCTTCCACATGGAAAAACAACATTGAGCATTCAGATATGGCTGCCAGTTTCAAGGATACATCTGATTGGTAGCTAGCAAGGAAGACCAGTAGCTATTATTGGAGTGCTAAATTTTCAGAAACTGAAAACTCTGTTAATACCTAGGCAGAACAACAAAAAGCCCTGAAGGTGCCATAAGATTTCATTTTTGGATAGGTAAAGTATACGTTGTTTTAATGCAGCAGAGGTTATAGAGGTCGTATTATTAAGAAATAGCACCAAGAAGCCTGTATAGTGATTTGAGGGAATGGATTACTTGCACAGTCATGGAAAGTAAGGGTTAGAGGTGATCTGGAGATAATTTTATCCAGTGGAGGAATTCATTGCTACAATATCACTAACATAATTTATTTGTCCTCTATTTAAACATCTGCATCCTGGAGCAGCCTTATGCATTCCACATTTTTTCCCTCTTCCTGCTCCTTATCTTCTAGTTTGCTGTCCTCAGGACATGCTGCATTTTATCAATGCCCTTGATAAATGCAGTATCTACATCCAAAGTTAAAAAAAACATTTAGGCTTAATGTGATGATATATTTTATGAATCAGACTAAGCCAGTGGTCTGGTTGCCATACTGTGTTGCAATGTAAACTACCCATATCCCACTTTGGTCCAGTAAGACCTGTGTAAAGAAAATATTTTGTTATCATGCTTTGAACTGTGGACCTTGCTTTTGGCTGGTGTCCTGTGATTTTATGTTATATGTACATTGATATGTACATATGTACATCTAGTCATTCTGAAGGTGAAAAATTCTTGTTTTTTAAAAAATCCTTCCCAGTGCTTTAAAATTTTTATTTATTTATTGCGCAAAATATTTTTAGATTCAAACCATTTAAAAGTTTAATTCTTTAAATGGTTTGATTCCCATATTCTTGGGTTATTACTTAATAAACAAAATATTGGTATAATTAATTTACTTCCTACACATTATAATATTCAAATTCTAAGAAGACTTATATCTTGATTGAGGTAAATATAAATAATTAAAGAAATGTTTAAGGTGAAAATATATTTTAAACATTTGTAGAATTAACGTAAGCTTCACATACTGATGTATTTACATTATTAATACAATTTCATGTTAACTATTAAATATTTCTTAATTAGGAATTGTTAAAAATCATTCTTAGATATATATTTATTTATATACTGCAAGTATTAGTTGATGCATTGTCTGGATTAAATCTGCATGACTTTAATCATCGGTCTTCTCATAATAGTAGCAAATTCAGGGTTTATATTAAGGTTTTTCACACTTTAAAATAATAAACATATTTGAAATAATTTTTTTGAATAATGTAGGAATCTGGAAAATAAAGCAGAGCTATTTTCAACACCTATGTTTATCTTTTTAGAAAGGGCTCTTCCTGTAACTTTATAAGATTTATGATTTCAATTGCAAAACTGTTTTCATAACAAAGGTGAGCTATCATAGCGTCAATAGCCATTTTGTTTTTGTTTTGATTTGAAACATAACTGACACTATTGTAATCCATTGTCATACAATGAAACATTTAACCATGTCCAGCCCTCCAACTAGGCAATTCACATTCAGCCCTTGAGCATCAACCCTCAAGCTCTAGACAAAATAATCTGAGCACTTATGGAAATGGCTTAGAGGTAAAAGAAGGTATTGATATATTTTTTAGAATAGATATAAACAAATATGAGTGGATAGATAAATCTGAGGGTACTTATCAAGTATGTTAGATTTTCATAAATACCTGTAACTTTTCTTGATTTCTTCATGGGATGCTCCTTTTTCAAGACCCAGGAGTTCATAGAGTGCTTCTCCTGATGTAGATAAAGTTCTCTGTCTTTGGTCAGCCATCTTATCAATGCATTTTCAAGAACTCTAATGTGAAAAAAAGGACATCCAAGAAGAAATGTTTATTATTGTTTAAGGAAGCTCTGAAATGACTCCGTATCTCATATTCTATTTCTTATGCCATGACTGGTGGAACATAGATGATCAGTGTACAAAATGTGGCAAGCCACCTGACTCTTAAATATATGCAGCAATATAGGCAACGGTTTGGTTTTGAACCATTCCATAAACACAGAAGCTCCGCCCCAATATCTGACTCATTCCGTTGCCATGGCTTGATTAGGTTAGCTCTTCCTTTTCGTCCATGCATTGCTGCAAAGTTTGAAAGTTATTTCCCAGTTGTATCTTTCATCACGTTTATTTTTGACATTTAAGGAACTAATTGCTGAATCCCATTAGTGGTGTCAAAGAAGTATGACTATCTTGATTTTAAGACTGAAAAGTTACTGATTTTGAAGTATAACCTGAGCAATAATCTAAGGTTGCTTGCTTGCTTATTTATTTATTTTTTTCTGCAGTTAGGACAGGCATGTAGCCTATGATTTTATGGTTTAAAATCAAGCCATATATACTTAGTATATTGGCACTGAATGCCAGGAGCAGCTGATTATAATATGATCTCACAGGCTTCAACCAGTCCTTTGGAAAGTTGTGCTTGTGTTTCACTTTATGGAATTGCCACATTAATTGATTTTAAAGATAAAATCTGGCAATGTAAAGCTCTCCATTACATATAAAGTCAATGCCTAGCCTTTTTTTTTATTGGTCAGTGAAAAGCAGAATCATGTGTCAGTTTATAAATTGTTAATGGGTTATGTTACATTAGATATTCAGATTGTAATAAATTAATTTTTGTTATGATACTCAAGAAGTAAAGTATTCTGTCATGCTATCTACTACTGTCTTTTGAAATCAATAAATATTAAAACTTAGATTCATAATAACTTGGGAAAAGTCTTTCCATTTTATATTGTTTTACATTTAACATTTCTTTTCTCAACAGCATTTTTGAAACAAATATACAAACATAAAATGGCACATGATTTATTAATATTGATTTTATCCAGAGGAAGTTCATGTCTCAAGAGAAATAACATTAAAAGACATTATTTAAACAAATGAGTATCAGTTTTTTTCCTATCATAAAGACTAATGGTCATTTCAGGTCTCTAAATTATTAAGTTGCTGGCTGCACTGCGTGCTGTTAATTAAGAATAATGTATCCACAATATGCTAAACACTTGAATAACATGGGGACTAGAGTTGCCATCAATGAAATTAGTGGAAACAGGTTCTACAACCGGATGGCACACGTCAGTAAAAAATCCAATAGATACTTTTAAGGACAGTATTATTCCTTTTTCTTTATATAAAACCCATCTATGATACTTATATAATTACTGCTTTAGCTAACAAGGTATTTTCCTATTTTTTGACATAATCTGAGTTTCTGAAACCAGTAGATTTTATTCCAAATATAAAAATGATAGGAAATTAATAATGCAGTCAGAAATTAATTTTATGGTTGAATCAATTGGGTCTTACAAAGAAAAGATGCATAGGTTATTTTTTACACAATTGCAACATTGTGTACATCTGCACAAAAGCAAGTCTTAGAGAATTTGATAGTTTCTTTTGGCCAAGAATACATAGAATTACATGGAAAGACTACAGTCCTGGAAAACAAATCTACTAAACACAGTGGAACTTCTCTCCAGTTAAACTTGCACGGCACTGAGTTTCACAGCTTCAATATGATACTGGCTTTATTGATTTCAAGCCGCCTGCATAATTATTTGTCTAGTTAGAATCATCTATACATCTAATTTAATTTTGGGAAGAGACAACTATGTTTAAATCATTTTGATGATAAGTTCAGTGGTATTTATACACATATCCCAATCCATTTTAAGTTTACTCTGAAGAGAATCAGAGTCCAATGTCATGACACCCAAGACTATATACAAAGATTCTTAATCTTACATGCAATATGAAATGTAATAACAATTCTACATTGACTATTCTACATCACACTAAAATAAAATAGGAAATAAATAAAATAAATTTATATACAAAATATTAAGCCTTATTCTAGAACTGGAATAAACAGCATCATTTGTATTTCTGGGTAGAACGTATCTTGATTTGTGCATATAGTTCTAAAACAAATGCAAACATTCACAGATGCAGTAAAAACATTCCCAAAATTCCAAATGTAATACATTTTACAAACATATTACTATTTGCATCAAATAAATCAAAACAGGTAAATTCTAGAAAAAGGGGAAAACATACCTGCTTCTGAAACAGAAGTCTTGTATATGTACAATATATATATATTGTTGCCCTATATTAGTAAGTTACTGTAGTGGTGATTTTTAAAATGTAAAAGAATCAGTTTTAAATAATAATGAGACAAAAATGCAAGATAAAAATGCAATGGAAGGCTAAACACTTCTGTATTTGAAAAGCTCTCCTATGGAAAGAATTTGTTTATACTTTTCTTCACCAACGGAGATCAGTGGCATCGGGTTACTTTTTGTTGCTCCAATATTCCATTGGTTGTCCCTTATGTAGGCTAGTGAAAAGGTGAATTAAAAATTAATGGGTGGACAGGTTGCTATAGCACAATAGTCAGTGACACCAGAGAGGGCATGGCATCCCAGTTTTATTATGCTTCATTCTCAGCGTTGCTTTGCCTCCATCAGAGTTGTTGAGCTTATTTAAGAATTAATAAATGTTTCTTTGTAGCATCTCTAAGCAATCAAGTTATCTTAAAAGTATTAAAAGGTTAAAATGAACAAATAATAGGGAAGGAGATCTTTCTGCCAGAACATTTAGGAGATAGAAGAATGCTGTTGACATGTTTTCACATCTCATGAATGGGATATGATCTCTAATTGGGCTTTAATTTCAGTAAAGATGCTCAAACAAGGTTAGCTGTAGAACACCAAATTTGTCTAATATTTATTTATTTCATTTCCAGATTGCTTAATAACCAGTTTCTGGGTGGTGTTCAGATCTTTAAGTGACACATCTAAAGACATTTTTTTTTAACCTCTGTACCATGAATAAGATTGTTTCTACCTCCAAATGTAGGGTAACAATTCTTAATTGGTAATTGTTATTAAGCTTCTGTTACACATTATCAGAGTGACCACCGGATTCTTTAGGAGTATGAAATTTTACTATTTATTCCGGTCCAAGTGCTTGAAACAGAATACCACTTAAGAATCACCACTGAATCTTAGACCAATCACATTAGATTAATATACTGTGCTGAATTATAATATGATATATTTGGGGTTTTTTGCTGAAACGTTGCATGAATTTTGCTCAGCATGTTGCATGAATTAATCAACTACTTATAGAGCATGGTTTAGATTTTTCATATTATGTGAATTTAGACCATTGTAATTAATTCTATAAACTAGAGCTTAATAAAATATAGCTGTGAAGCAAAATTATATGGACTTCTTCAAGGATACTCTTTTTGTCTCCTAGATTTTTAAAAAATCCAAAACTAATCTCAGCAATTTGGTATTACTAAGGACACATATGTTAACATATTTACAGTCTCTAGAGCTTGCAGAAAGCTGCCAGCAACTGGTGCTTATCTTTTTGAACCAACTGAGTATGCACATAGAATGGTAAGCAAGACTAGTAAGAATAAATTGTTAATTTGTTCACATTTTTTGACTTAGAGTAGGAAGCCTTATCTGTCTTCCAAACTGTTGATAATTGTGCATTTGGGCTCCTCTTCTAGCAAATGAAAAGCAGGGGCTCACCTCTCCCAGTTCCAATATTGAGTTATCATGTTTGTGTATGCATTATTTTACATTTGTAACTAACTTTCATCAGTGGACATCAATGGACTCTTCTAGATGGCTCAGTTAAACTGTTACCCACTAGTCGTTCAGCCAGCAGAACATTATATTAACCAAATTGTGTTCCCCCCATTACCTAATCCCTGGTTTGCCAAAATAAAGCCAGACAATGAAGCTATCCTTATTTATTCTGAGCCAAGTTAAGGAAATAGAATGGTGCTTTTTTTTTTAGTTTGGTTTCCCCTTTCACTACATATTATCTCTCAGCAGAAAGATCAACTACTTACTATCTTCCTAATATGGGATGTGGCAAGATGGGCTGAAATGAGACTCACGCCCCAAATGGTGGATTTAGCCTCCTGTCAAATTGTCTAACAGGTGGCAGGTACTAAGTGGGGATATGTATGAAGCAAGAGATAATTGTCCTGATGCTTTTTGAAGTCCCATGTGCCAGATGGCTAAATGGGCTATTTTTGATCACGGACTAGTATTCTTCTAAAATACCACTACAACTTCAAAAATAGCCTGACTAGCAGAGGTGGAAGGTGGGATAAGGGGGAGACGGGGAAAATGAGGAAACTTACTCCTTTATTCCTTTTTGGTGCAACCACTTGTTTGTATCTTGATCAGGCTATTTCTAAGCATGGACCCAATGCACTTTTGCGCTGTCATGTTCAAAACTAACTTGGCTGAGAGATAAAAGATGTGGAGGGGACTGGGTGAAGCAGGAGGAAATGACTGAATGAGCTGTATGCTTAATAAAGCTGCAAGGGAATGGAAGTGCTGGTCATGAGCAGCCAAGGCTCTTCTGACTGGCAGCATCCAGGACTAATTGGTGGACAGCAACAGAGAACATGCAGCTGTGACTTACCCATGCATAACAAGAACTGTGATCACTGTGGCACTTTTATTCCACCAAAGTTGCTGTGCGATTACGAGAGGATGCTGCCCTGTAATATGGTGCACTGTATAAACAGCAACAGGAATCGCACCTGCGTGATGCTAATTCTCAGAGTACTGCCTAATTCAGCTGCTCTGCTCAGACTCAAGTTCTCAGAAATAAAGGAAGTAATAAAAACTGTAAAAAAAATGGCCCTTCCTTATGGTCTCTTCTTTGAGCCACCACCACCACCAATGTCTCAGTGTGGCATCTCCTACCTATCTCCTGATCTTCCTGGTGT